CATTGGAGCTACTCATTGATAAAGTAAGGGAGAATGATCCAACATCCCAGGTGAGAAGCAGGACTTAACACTGGGTCATATGTGTGGAGCTGGAGCAGAGCAGAGCAGAGCTACAAACCTGATTAGACCTGAGCTAGTGGTGATTAATCAAGAAAGAGCTCTTTGAATAGTGGTGGAAAGGGCAAAGAAAATGTTGACCCATTGTGAGGGTTCTGTGGAAAAAACAAACTCCATGTTAGGCATTAGAAATAAAACCCCATATCTTTATGCAGATCATGCATCCATTCTTAGAATATTGTGCACAATTGGAAAGAGTGCTGACAATGATAACTCAAATGATAAAGTGGCTGGAGCAACTCTCCTATGAGAAAGGGTTGTAATATCTGGGATTGCTGGCTCAAGAAAAAGGTAAGCGGAGACATGGTAGCGGTGTACAGAATTGCAGAAAGGGAGACATTGTTCTCCTTCTCCTAATACTAGATCCCGAAGGGGTCATCCTATGAAGCTGAGTAGTGGGAGATTTAGGGCAGGTAAAAGGAAATGCTTCGTTATACTGCACACAGTCCACTTTCATAGGATGGAAGCCAGAGGCTGGTCTGTGTGTGAACAGAACGCTGGATTGGGTGGAACTTTGATCCGATCCAGCAAGGCTCTTCTTCTGCTTAAATTACCAGTTCTTCAGGTCTGAACAGAACATTATATTCTTTCAGTATCCATACCAGATGCCTTTCTGACTGCGGACTTTGCAAAGCCCCAGGAAAGGAGCACCCCTAACTTAGCTTGGCAACTTATTCCACAAGTTGAGTCCCACATGTTGGTCTGCTTCCACATACTTTGTTGAAGGCTATGACAAGTTGGCATTCCTTGCTTAGTTTCACCTTGATGTCTATTGTTTTTGTGTCGGCTCACATACTGGATTGGACTGGCACTGCACCACAAAGAGGAACAACCTGGGCTTGTTTCAGATCTTTACTCCAATTCCACCCCAGTCACAGTTCCAGGAAGTTTTGCATGTGACCAGGAGGACTTGCACCACAGGTCTCTGTGAAACATTCTTGCTTTGGGCAGAAATATGCCTCATAGCCAAGTTAAAAACATACTCACCAAAAATTAACTTTCCTAGAAATTCAAAGTGTGCATTAGTTCCTTCCTGCACACGTGGATTGCGATCTGTGCCTTTAGGTCAGCTTTCCCCAACCTGGATCCCTCTAGATGTGTCTTGGCTAGGGATGATGGGAAGTGTAGTCCAACAAATCACCAGGTTGATGAAGGGTACTTTAGAACATCAGGTGCACTAGGTACTCTAACCTCTCTTAAAACCATTCAATACCATTAGCATCATAGCTTCATCTAAAAGCTCACCTGAAAAGAATCTCCAAGCAAGCATTTAAATATTTACTAATGGCGGTTTCTTGAGGCTATAGCTTACCCAGAGACTCTTTAGAAAGTTAATACTTTTTTAGCATCAAAAATAGCAAGTATTTTCAATCCATCTTTTCTTTCACACTAAATAAGTGCTTGTAGCTAAACAACACAAATTATCCCACATTCTGACATAAGATCCAGATGTTTTAGATTTGGTTTAAATATCTAAAGTAAATTGGTAGAGATTCCACTTAAGGAGCTAAATTGCAATGTGTGAGGTTTACCTTTTGCTGTACTGAAATTAAATGGAGCTTTAAAAAAGCATTTAAACCCGAAAATATGTATCACACCAACTCTCTAGTCAAAACAAGTCTCACCTACTAATGAAGCTGGCACTGAAGCAAAAGCCACAGGTGAGGAGAGGCAGTTTTGATATCCTCTTGTCACATACACGGAGGAAAGGAAAACACAGAAATCATTTGGAAATGAGAAAAAGTCACAGCTCATCTTCAAGTACCCCTTTCTTAATGAATCAAACAGGAATGAGTTAGAAGATAACACAAGGCTATTGAAAGTCACATTTTAATAAGTTCCTTGCATCTGTTTTAGACTAAGGAGAACTGGAATCCCTGCTTAGAGTTCTGAGAAGACAAGATTTAAGTATGAAGGGTACACATCCCCATTCTTTTCTACCCTCCCCACTCCACATTCTATGGGGGAAGATCTACGCAGACACACAGTGGAAATAAACAATATTCATTTGAAGATGGATGGAAGGGGTGCAAACAACCTTCACCCATGGGAAAGAAAGATGATGATGATAGCAGGAGATTTTACAAGCCTCCAGTACATCTTACAATGCATCATACTGACAAGAGTTTTCCTTGAACTGCCACAGGTCACTGAAAGGACTTTGTGAAATGCAGGCTTCCTTTCTGCTTAGGCCACTTTTCCATATGTGGAGAAAGGAATATTGATTGGAAGGAACAGGACCGTGTAATGGCAAACCCACGCCTTGTGCAGTTCACGAAAGGAGCAAACGTGCACCTCTCCTTGGCAAATGAGGTTTTTAAAAAGTCTAGGCAACAAGAATGTTGGACTCAATCTTACATGCCCTACAAAATTAGGAGAGGTTGAAAGGGAATATTATTTGTGCAAGGAGCAGTGTCTACAAACTGGCCATAAATAAATCTGGCTTGCACATAAAAGAGAAAGATGGAAGTGCAAACTCCAAAACACTTTCCCCAGCACAGAAATACCTTACTGCATGAAAACAAGGACTGGTTAAATTTATGAATAGCTTCAAATATAAAGCCTGTTATGGCATATTGGGATGGAGGGTTTTCTTCCCTGCCTTTTATTAGGATTATGGGGTTTCTTTGTCCTCTTTCCTTGGCCATAAGCAACAGAGAGAATTTGTCCATCAGAGCTGAGCATCCTTTGTTATTTCCCAGTTCATCTCAGCAGTAATATGGTGAGTTTTTCCTTAAGAACTTGCCAGGAATCAGAGAGGAATAGAGAGGAATCCAGTTCACCTGGCCGGCAACCAGGAGAAGCCTTTTCCCCATTATGTCCAGTTAGGCTCACTTGCTCAAAACATCTGGAGCTCTTTGGGGGCACTTTTCATGACAAGTGCTTGCTCCAAGACAGGCTCACTTGGTGGGCAGGTCAGCATTTGGACAGTGTGCCTGGATTGCATGGTCCTTTGCTTCCCCTCTGCTTCTGGGCATACAAGGCTGCTTACAGACTGCAGGCTAGATTGCTCTTATACTGTAAACCACAACCAGATTTATAATGCAACATCCACAACACTGAAAATAGTTCTTCTGCTTCTCTCCCTGTATGTTCCATCCACACATGGGTGACTTCGGCTGGTGGCTGGGGATGCATGCTGGAGCAGGCCAAAGGCCTGTCTAACTCGGCATTCTCTTCCAGTGGACAAGCAGCAGCATATAGAAGCCAACAAGTACGACATGAATGCATAGCAAGGACCCACCTGTGGTTCCCTGGCACCTGGTATTCAGTAACACGCAGACTCCAATGCTGGATCTAACATGCAATCGTCACGGCAAGTAACCATAGATAACCTTACCTTTCATGAATGTGTCTAACGCCTTTTTAGAGAGATCCATCTTGGTGGCCACCACTACATCTTGCAATAGTGAGCTCCGTAGCTTAACTTTGTATTATGTCAAAGTGTTTCCTTTAATGTCTCCTGAATCTCCCCACAATTCCAGAAAGGGGGGCGGGGAAAGGATCAAGCTATTTTCTTCACACCATAAAAATTTTATATACCTCTTATGTCCCCATTAGTCACATTTTATTTTTTTTCCAGGCTAAAAAGTCCATTGTGACAACCAAAACTAAATTTGCCTTTAAAATTCCAATTAATGTGTACAAAAATGACAAATTAGTGAAAAAACTTGCAAAATGCTTTTATGTTAAGGAAATTACTGAAAAATATGTATATTTAAAGAAATAAAAAATGCATGTGGTACAGGAAATGGGCATAAACATGTTCAAGACTTTCTATGAGAACTTTAAAAATAAAATTCTCAAAAGTTCATAACTAAATTTAAGCATAAGGGCAAATTAATTGAATATGAGCAAATAAAGTGAAATCAAAATCCATTCACTCCTAGTTGTGCTACATTGTCAAGATGCCAAAGACCACCTCCAGCACAGATTGAAGCACTGAACACTACATTTGGGTTCTGATGCTACACATTTGGACTAGTCATCAAGGCAGCCAAAGCTTGTGAGCCACTATGGAGAGCAAGAGAAAGGGTATGACCATAATGAACTGGGCTAAGAGATGCCGTGAACTCCTTCTGATTAAGTGAACAGCTAGGGCTCTGCTCAAGTGAGCTTCCTATTCCAGATATTATGTCCTACATTTATGAAAGAGAGCTCAAGAAAGTTCCAAAAGTATTCATAGAATAACCTTGTGAGTTAAGGTAGACTGAGAGATAGTCAAGAGCACAAGGCAGTCAGCTTCACACCTGCGGAGACATTTAAATCCTGGACTTTCCACTCTATACTCCAACCATCACACCACACTTAGCTCCATTGACAAGGGTGTCAATAGGACAGCCAGTAGAGCCGGTAATACATGCCATCCGAAAATCATTAGGAGCTGTACAACCTAGCAGGCCCACCAAAAATCCAACATTCATCATTTTAAAAATAGTGTCACAGTGCATAGTTTGTGACCTTCAAGGTTTGGTGGCAACTGTAGTGCAGGCCAATTTTCTTAGGATCATGTATGGAAATTTTGTCCTGTTGGTATGATGGATACAAGCTCAAGTTCCAATACTGCTATCTGGGTGCCAACTGTGGAGCAGTTCTTGCAGAGCTTCAGTTAAAATCCTTGGCCACCAAGGGCTTCTCTGCCCCATTGACATTGGCCAAACACTGCAGTGCAGGTAGAAAAGGCACACAAAGGCCTTAGCAATGCTTGGGAGCAGCAGCTGAGCCTTCAGGTCAAGCTTACGGGGTGCAGGATTGCAATCTGTACGTTCTTTCAACCAGATTATCTTTCTGCCTAAGATTAGTCCCTTTTAAATGCTAAGCTTTAAATTGATCAGTTAGATCTAAAAGTCGCAGATAAAGAGCCAAGGACAATCAGCAAAACATTCACTTTCAAAACTACTTTTATTTCAGTGATGGAATCCAAGTTTTAGTTAGTAGATACTTTTAGTTCCCCCCCACCCCCAAATCACAAGTCTCAAGAGCTTATCATGTAAACATCACTTCTCTATCAAACCGCTGTACAAAAATGTGTAAGACAGATAACATTTATACAGTACATTTTCATACCTTCATTAATGTATCTTTTTAAAAAAGCAAAATTGATTAGCTGGCAAATAATGTCCTATTTCTTTACAATCAAATACTACCTCAAAATGGTACAAAAATTAGAAGTCTTTAAAACCCTGAAGACTTAGGATAATTAAACTTTAATTATTCGGTAGTCAACGCTTTCAAAATGCTGTATATGGACATGATGGGGAAAGGAATTTGTTAAAAATGAAACACAGGGCATGCTTTTCATATGGGCTGCTGCTCTTTGCAATTCAAGTAGAACTAAATTTGGTTTTTTTTTGCTGATGACCACCTTAAGCCAATACAGACAAGATAGCAGGAAAGTCACTATGAGGTCTCCTTTTTAAGTAAGAGAAATACAGAGGCATCCCCAAGTCCCATCAGATTGTGGCCATGGAGCAGTGAGGGGCTGAGTCTTTCTCCTCTATCACATTCCTAATCTGTACAACTTTCTTCAACCTGGGCAGTGACAGGAGCCCTGCGGAGGCCAAGGAGAAAAGCCCACCGGTCCTAAGCTCCGTGACCTTATCGGATCATGAATCTCCTTCTGTCTCATCTAGCTGTGCCCTGACACACAAACTGTTTCCCAGTTATGTGTGCATAGATTATCAGATATTGAGATCAGAGGAAAGTGCAGAGCCAAATTTGCTGATCGTTAATTAAATTTGCCCATATACTTCAAATACCTAATGCATGCATACATTAAGGTGCAATCTTAGCTAATTTTAAATTTCTCCCCACGTCCTACCATTAAAGGTACACATAAACACACAGTCTACATGGATCAAACCCTTCTTGTTATCTGAGGCTATGCCAAGTTTGCTGATACCCAGTATCAGTTTTATATACCAAATACAGAGAAAGAGAAAGAGAGCAAAAGAGAAACTGCAGAATTAATCATCCAAAGGCTTTGGAAAGATTACCACAGAACAATTACTATCAACCTGCAGCAACCTGACTTACGCACAGATTGAACAGAGTGGTGAACAGATACTAATCGGTGGAATGATTCAATGGGACAGGATGTAGAGCATCTTGAGGAGGAGCTGCGATGTCAAATTTCCTTAGCACAGAGACAGCAACCGTGTCTGAAAGTGATTTATTCTAGTAAGTTACACTGCCCCTAAAAGGCTGTGGGTTAAATTGGAGTCTGACTTGTAGCCTGCTCACAAGTCCCTCCCCAAGGCCTTCAAGGAGCAGCTAAGTGACCTCGCCTTTGTGTGCAAAAAGCGCAACCTGCTTCATCCACAGGACACGACTCCAGGTGTGCAAACCTCATACCTGGTCATCTGTGCAACCTGGCCTGGAGGTAAAAAACAAGCAAAGAGAAAAGCAGGCACCATATAAGAAGCTGACTACACCTGGCAGGTTAAATGGTGGCTGTAAATTCAAATTAATCCTACTCTGCAAGCTGAAGGGGGAAAAGGACCTCCTGGATTAAAAATGCATGTTGTGAGAAAGCAGAAGTGATAAAGATGAACATGCCATTTACTGAACAGCTTTCATGGTGAGACATGGCTGGAAACCGTCCTGCATCCTTTAACACCTCATTTTAATGAGAGCCATATGATCAGGGCCAAGACAGTAACTCCCACAGCAAGTACAGCGATGATGATACACATTTTCTTGCGGGACTTGCGCTGGGGAGAAGCAAGCAAAGAAGAAATCATTAGTACAGTGATTCTGGAGCTTAGATCCACCCCCTCAGGATGAGCTGGGGCTCCTGTGATGGAGTATCCTTCATCCATGGGATCCTTTACACAGAAAACTACATATTGTTAGGAGAAGGGTTCTTGTCTAGCCATTTCCATTATAAGCTAGAGATTTCCACGTAGAGATTACTGTATGGAAGAGTATTCAAACATATAAGCCTTTACTTGTGGTCCCGGGGTAGGCAAGCTCGTTGCACTCCAGATGTTTTGGATTACAACTTCCCAAGCCTCAGCCAATCACTCTTAAAGTCTAGAGCAGTTCCATCAAGTCCAATGGAACTGGCAATTCTAGATAAATGTGTCCATTTAGGACTGCAGCAGTGGCCCTATTCACTTCAACGGCATTCGCAGGCTTTAACAATGCTTGCATTTCACTGTTGTAAAGGAGGCAGAATCAATCCCAAAATACTAACAGCACTTTTAAGTGAACTAGATCTTTTCGGTCTCTGGAACTAATAACTTTAATCTAGCAAGCAATGGTTTAACTCAGCAGGCCTAGTTTATGTATTAGGTAAGGTCAGCTCCAGTTCCCTGAACGGGAATCTGCCTCTCCCAGCTGGATGTCGCACCACAGCTCTCACTGGCAATGATATCCGGGAATGATGGGAGCCGTAGCTAAGCACATCTGGAGGGCACCAGGTTTGGGCAAGGTTGCATTTGGCAGGAGTTCTTGCCTTATTCACGCCTGCGGCAAAGACATCATTCATTTACTGCAGGCGGCAACATTCTTCCTCTTTCTCACGAGACAAGAGATGGCTGACTGTGATATCAACCATGGTAATTAAGCAAATTACACCAGCTCAAGGGTTTTAAAAGTGCATCAAAAACTGGGCACAGAAAAGCACCCTTTCACATTAAGCTGATGTTTTGACAAGAAGAAATATTGGGTGGAGACCAATTATTTTATTTGCAGGAATAATATAAACATTTAGCAATGCTATGTTACCACCAGGCAAGCAGCTTTCCATCCCATCCACCCCTGTAACTTCCTGGAGTGCTCTTGCAAACAGATCAAGCGAAGGCTTGGTGCTTCCGTGGTGTCCTGGAGGGCGGTTTCAGAAGGTGGTGCTGGGAATTCTAGCTCGCCTCCTAGACACTTCTGCCTGCAAATTCTCCAGCGCCTGCTTATGCTCCAAATGATTCAACCCATGCCTATGTATGCCATGGGTTGGGAAACTTGGGCAAGAAGATGCCGCTGCACTTGTGTCCTGCTTTTGAGAATCTCTGGGCAACTAGTGGGCCACTATGTGGCCAGAATGCCAGACTGGAGGGACCCTTTGTCCGATTCAGCATGGCTCGTCTTACGTTTCATCAGCGTCAGACGGTGTGGTAGACTGAAGCAGAGCCTGGCAGTGGCCAGTGCAAACTGAAGAGCCGTCTGGACCAGGTGCAGCTAGTGAGTGGGGCTAAACCTACCAGGTCCGCTTTTGAGCCTAACCTTATCTTTGGAAGTCCACATGACATGTAAAAACATTGTGCAGATGCTTTCACAGCTAGAGAAGGGTAGCTGCACCTGGCATCATACCAATGCTCTCACTATACTCATCCATTTTCTGGTCATGGCCAAGTTAGATTGCTGTAATACAACCTACATGGGGCTGTCTTGGAAGACTATCCAACTCTGGCTGGTACAAAAACTGGAGGCCAGGCTGTTGACATGATTCCCTGCAGTAAATGCATCACCTTGCAGAGCCTTTGTTGGCTTCATGTGTCTGAAAATGCAATTCCAAGTGACATGAACTCCTAAATGGTTTGACCTCAGAGGAACTGAATAACCCTCTGTAATATAAGCCTACCTCTTTGTTCAGACCTGTATCAGAGGTCCTTTTCTGGATCCCCCAAATTTCTGAGGCAAAGCAGCTCAGACAGGACCTTTTCTAGGGCCTAATGGGACCTTTTCTATTTTCAGTGTCCCATTTTCAGAAGTGTTATTCCCCCCATACCTTCAATGCTCACATTTTGAATGGCTGTGCTTTAAAATTCTCACTTATGGCTGTTTGTTTCTTCTTACAAATGTGATGTCTGCTTCTTTTCAAATATTATTGGTATTTTGTATATTGCTCCAGATTTTTATTCTTACAGAAGCAGAAAGTAAATATTTCATTAAAAATAAGCATCAAAAAGATGGACTCAAAAAGAGAGTCCCGTGGGACTCACATCATTGGCCACCAAGCAAATCCAAGTTCTCACTGTTTCATTTCTTAATACAATGGATTAAACCTTCCAACATAATCTTGTTGCTTCTGACCATATTTACCTGGTAATTTGCTGCACTAGCCAACTGCTGATTTGCTTGGTGAACGTGGACTTCAGCTGTTTCTACATTGGCTTCTATGCTATCTTTGGGATGAAGCAGAAAAACATTTTTTAAAAAAATCTATTTGCAAGCAGAACATAATCCTCAGATACCTAATGGCTGGAATATTACATGTTTCTACCTGTTCTGCAGCCATGATACAGAAACGATTTGGAGAGTAATTCCAGACACACTTATTTGAAAAAGAAATTAAAACCAATACAACCTAGAGGCAAACTACAGCTTACAAAGAACATGGGGATGCTGCTGAAAATGCGTAGTTCAACTTGACATGCTTGCCTTCCACACAGTATGCTTATGTCTTTACAAGGTGCATTCTCTGCTCTGCCCGGCAGCAGTCAAAAGAAGAGCAGAGGCAAAATTACACACAATGTCAGGACACAAGAAAGTTGCACTGGATGTTAGAATGGGTAATTGATGGCAAACGACTCAAAGGACAGGACTGCCATTTTCACCAGAAGCCCTCTGATTTTTTAAAATGTATTATTCTACCCCTAAGTAAATGCATTAGGATCTGAGAAACCTCTTCTTTCCCTTGCTTAAGACAGACATGTCAAAGATGACAGCAGAAGACATTTTCTAAATTAGGGTCATAACCAGCTTGTGGAAAGAGACTGTCCCTGGACAAATGTTACTACAATGAGCACTGTGTGGACCTCTGGATACTCACATTATTTCTTTAAAGTCACCCATCATGAATGCAGTTGCAAGATACAATTATAAAACTGTACTCTTAAGTACCTCCCCCTGTGCAACCTGTTACTTCGTTTACTTCTTTGTTCTGAATAGGATAAAGGGGCAGTCTCAGAAACGAGATGAAATGAGTCTAGGTATAGCTTCACTGGAATTTGAAAAGATGCTATAAACGATCTAACATGTTGTAGTACAAGAACTTTTAAATCCTAACACATCATACCCTCCCACGCATATTTCATGTCACATCTCTCTGAGTCTGAAGATTAAGTAGCGGCAGGAAAACTGATAACAACCAGAAAGTAAATAGGGATACTCAGATTCAGCCAAATTTCATCCTCCCTGTTTGTTAGGAAGATGCTAACTCTGTTATTTTCTTCAAATAGTTGCCAGATTTATACAAACAAATGCAATGAAACTGTTACATCCAAATGTGATATTAAAAAACAAAAACAGCTTTGCATGAAACTGTCTCAAAACACTGAAACACTTACCTATTACATCTCCTTGTTCATGAATCATCATTCCCAGATCTTTAAATATTTCATTTATGTCCAGAATGTCTGACTGTAAACAAAGAAATGTGTATTTACACATCATAATACTTAGCATAATTGTATAACAGTTGGAGTAGCAGGAATGGAAGAAAGGCAGGCTGAATGGAAGAGATACATGGTAAAATCCCTTGAAAGAGTAACAAGTCAAACACTTAAAAAAATCACCATGATACTTCTAAGATGCTTGCAAAGTAAATTGGACAACATACGCTTATGGAATTTAGGAGCTACAGGGTGAAAACAGGGATGAAGATTTTAATTAGGTAAAGCATAACCTAAGCAAACAGCATTTTAAAGCTGTTAAGCATTTTTAAATATATTTTTGTGATTAATTTAAAAAAAAAAAATCAAACTTCAAAGCAAGGCCAACCTCCCCAAAGAAATACAATAAAATAAAGTGTTACAGCTTTCTTATGTGAAATTTGTGCATTCAATCTATCAGATTGAATGCACATATACATTTATGTATAGCAAAATATACTGTTATTATCTCCTTTCCGTACCACCCAGTAGCTGATGCCCTCTGGACAGTTTACAACAATACATTAAAACAGTCAAACACCATTTCCCCCCAAAATACAGAAATTTTAAAAACAAATTAAAAACAACTGAAACAACACATGACTAGACCCATGAACACCTGGAATGGGCAATTCTCTCAGGCCCTCAAATAGCCATGCATGTTTTTAAATGCTGTGGCATAAAGGGCCATCTTAGACAGGTGCTGTCAAGTTGAAAAGGTTGGTGGCAGGTGGCCTCAGCGGGGAGATTATTCCAGTGCTGGGGGCTACCACTGAGAAAGTACCCCCCCCTTGTTGCTGTTCTCCAAGATTCCCTCAGAGCTGGTACTCAGAGTGGGATCAATGCCCAGGCTGATTGGCTTAGGAAAGGTGCTCTGTCCACTATCGCACTCCCAAACCATGAAGGGCATTATAGGTTAAAACCTGAACCCCTGAGTTGGATTCAGATGCATACAGGCAGTCAACGTAAGCAGGCCAGAACTGGTCTTATATGATCAGATCTACAAGTTCAAGAAACTAGTCTGGCTGCAGCAGTCTGTGAAAAATCCACCTTCTGAACAGTCTTCAAGAGCAGTCCCAATTATGGTGTATTGCAGCAATCTAAATTAGAGATTAAAGGTAAAGTAAAGGTAAAGGTTTCCCCTTGACGTGAAGTCCAGTCATGCCTGACTCTAGGGGGCGATGCTCAACTCCGTTTCTTAGCCGAGGGAGCCAGCGTTTGTCCACAGACAGTCTCCGTCATCATGTGGCCAGCATGACTAAACACCGAGGTGCACGGAACGCTGTTACCTGCCCACCAAAGTGGTACCTTTTTATCTACTTGCATTTGCATGGTTTCGAACTGCAAGGTTGTCAGGAGCTGGGACAGAGTATGGGAGCTCCCCACATTGTGCAGATTCGAACCGGCAACCTTTCGATCAACCAGCCCAGCAGCACAGCAGTTTAAACCACTGTGCCACCTGCAGTCCATTTAGAGATTACCAGGGTGCAAATTACTGAAATTAGGTTTCTAATCAGAGAGACAGGGAGAAATTAAACATGGGGTCAAGGACAGCTCCACGATTTCAGTCTTGCGTGACCTTGTTGAAGACATCATCCAGCCAAATCCTGCCTCTTAACTGTAGTAAATGAAGACCTCATTCTTCCAATGAAATCTAGAGCACCCACATGAAGTCGTCCTTTCCTCCTGGGGCAGTCTCCATGGAGTTACAGAAATTCCAGTCCTTTCGTTCAGGAATGTAATGGAGGAAGTTATAAAGAGGCAGTGATGAAGAGAAGTTATCAAGTTACCAGGACAAGGAGTTGTTTGATGCATGAGTTGTGGCCTCTACCTGGCATTCTGAAGGAAAGACACCTGGACCAGTGGTACCCCAACGAGGGAAGCGGCAACTTACAGACTTTGAAAGAAGGGCCAGTGTCACTGTTGTCCCACAGGAGCTGTGCAGATCAATGAACCCTGGCAGCAGGCACCACCAAGCACATGGCCAAATTAAGGGAAGAAAAATTCCGCTCTTGATCTCACCGCATCTCCCAGCCTTGCCCAGGGCTCACCTCAAGCTGTCTGATGGCAGACTCCCTCTCCTCAATGAGACGAAGGTCATCTTCTGTGATTTCTTCATCTTGTGCTTGTGTCTGAGGTTGGCTTTAAGTGAAGCACATAGTGTTATATATCACAACACTTCGCACCCAAAAGCGACAAATCTTCTTAACTCATTCAAAGCTGCTTCGTCGATAACATCAGGAACTTTATGAACTACCCTTGCACAATGCTGACAAAGCAACCTCAGACAGAGGTAGCAGGGTAATAATATTTTATAAATCTAACTGAACTTTGTAGGGGTTTCCAGGAAGAGAGTGAGAAAACTTCACAATGCAGTGGTTTGCCTCCTGGAGTCAGTTCACACATTAATATGCTCACTAGCTGGGAGTAAGTTCCTTTGGACACAGCAGGAATACACACCCCTGAATACAATACAACTCGTCAGGAGCTGGTGCAACAGGGGTTTTCTGATGGTTTTCCCTTCTGTTCCAGAGAAGCCTCTGTGTGCCCTGGCATTCTAAAAGCTTTCTAAAATTAGACTTTAACCAGTCCTGACATTCCATCTAGATTTTGTCAATTAATGTTCTTGAGTATGACCCACTTTTAAAATTAACCCCCTTACAACACTACACAGATTGGCTGGGGCATTACAGAAGAACATATTGTGGTTAATTCTCATCGTAGCCACAATTTCATTAAATTCAGTTGAAGTACCGCAGTGAAACTGGTTTAAGACAGTAGCCATGCGCTCCTTGCCTTGGCTTTTAGGATCCCGAAGCAACAGAGATCCCCGGTGAGATCATAAAAGGCAGGATATAATGCTGTTGACCTGCTGGTGGGGTCCACCACCACTTCTGTGTCATGAGCAGCCAGCCCCACCAATTCCCTTCTGAAGGTGACATCCCTCACTTCCAGAAGAGTGACTACGTGCTTTCGGGGCAAGCCCTGAAACAAGCAGAAACGCTCGTTCTGGAAGGAGGTAGGTCAGGAAAATGCCTTTATTTGAGCCCAACTGGATACTACGTCTAACCCTGCACTGCCATCCGGACTGCACAGGAAATGATTAAAGCAGAAGATCAAAGCAGGAACAACTAGACTGAAAGCAGGTCCCCATTACTGGTGGTCTCCAAAGGCTGGTTTGTTTGCTTGCTCGCAAGAGCCAAGGATTCCTCTACAAAGACAGAGGCTCTCCTTTCTCCTACCCCACCAACCCATGAGTTCTTGCTGTGTGCAAGAAAGGATTCAGGGCGGGAGGTAGTCTCTTGGGCTTGCCACAGTCTTACAAGCTCTTTGCAAACTGCAGACAACACCGATGGGGCAGAGATCTTTCACCCTGGCAAGCAGGGATGGAACAGCTGCCATCAGCAACAGGTTTGTGGACTTCTGACCAGCACACTCTTAGACACAATGAGCGAACGTCAGTAATGCAACTCAGAGAAAACAGAACAATTATTTAAGAAACAGGGTGACAGATACTTCTAGCAGAACCACAACAATCACCATGTTTTAGGAATCAAAGCTTCACACCATTGCACCACACACAGAGTTTAGACAGTTCTGTGGTATTACTTTCTAGTGTTTCAAGAACTTATGACAATATAATTAACTCTGGGCTTTCACTTATTTTAGGTTCCACAAGTGGAAAATTGTCCACTTTTACAGCACTTCTTACCTGTCCCAAGACACCAGTGTTCCTTCTCTGAAGCTGTCCTCTGGGGCACCACCCTATAAAGTTATGAGATGGAAAAACATGTAACTTTGCTTTTGGGCACAGGGTATTAAATATTGTTTAACTGCGGGGTGGAAATAGATGGGGAAGTTGGATCTGTCCAGTTGGTACTGCCAGGAGTTACATCCTGGCAGTACCAAAATTGGATCATGTCTGTAACTGCTTGCTATCGGGCTGCTCCTGCACAGCCAGCATCTCTCAACATGCTTAATACCGAAACTGGAGCTCAAAGGAAACAGTGTAGGAAACACAGGAAGCTGCCATGTACCAGTTCAGGTTCATCTAGCCCAGGGTCCTCAAACTTTTTGAACAGGGGGCCAGTTGAAAGGTGCTGGCAATGGGCGCACGCCGCCAAGGCAGTGCAGGCGGGGGGCGCAGGCCAGGGGGGTGCATGCGCGTGTGGCAAGGCAGGGGTGTGCATGTGTGCACAGAGATCGTTTTCTCAGAGCAAGTCCAAAACAATCTTCTTGCAAGCAAGCCGGCGCCTTGCCCTGTGCACGGCGAGTCGCCAGCTTGCTCACAAGGAGATCCTTTTCTCCAAGTAAGTCCAAAATTATCTCCTTGCGAGCAAGCCGGCACCTCAGCATGGCATGCGCATGTGCGTGGTGAGCTATGGCAGGCCGGATAAATGGGCATGGCAGGCCGGATCCAGCCCATGGACCGTAGTTTGATTACCCATGGTCTAGCCCCATATTGTTGATGCTGACTGGCAGCAGCTTGCCAGGTTCTCAGGCAGGACTTTTTCCAGCCCTCTCTGGAATGGGACCTGGTACCTTGTGTGTGCAAAGCATGTGCTTTACCACTGCGCTCTTGGATTGTTGGCCCTTGCTTACTATTGAACTCAAAAGCAGACCAAAAGAGCATGGAGAAACAGCAAGCAGAAATGGGAGGGCAACACAGGGCAAGGACTCAGGGAAAGCTTTAGATGGGGTGTGTGGACAAATTGGATGCCTGACCAATCCAGGCCAGGCAAGATTGTTCTGCTAATAGGACAAGATGGAAGACACTCAGATGCAGTGGCTTAGGAGCTTCAATTAATTTATGGAGCATTGCAGAAGCAAGGTTTCTTGTCCTCTCCTGTCTCCACAGCCACTGAAATGCCTTTCTGAAGGGTTGGGAGACTTTCCTGATCGAGGAAGGATGGGGGTAGAGGGCTCTAAATGTAGGCAAATCCCTCCTCTCCCAGCAACCATCCAGGATCCCATTGCACACTGTTGAAAAAGGCTCTCCAACCATCCCTAAAGGATTTCTGTGGGCCACAGGAGGTGAACGGAACAGGAAACCTTTAAGTTAGCATGTCTCATGATTCAAGCCATTGTGCTTCCAAGGCCTGGAAAAGAAGCAGGTACACAAATTCAGTAGTAGTATTTATAGATTCTCTGCTGAGCACGTACTCTTACTTAACAAAGAAACTGGCAGAAAACTGAATATGTTTACACAGGTTCCTGCTAGCAATTAAGTGGACAGCTGTGTGTTTAAATATCTACTTAAGCAAATATCACTGTATTTCAACACAAGCATATATGCCCCAAACCATGGCACAGAATGTGAGGCTGCTAACTGGCTGTTCTGGGTTCAATATGCTATTGAACTCCAAGTCTACCTTGGGCTAATTTAGCACCTGGACACAGAAGAATCCTGCTGACTTTCACTTCCCCACAATCAAAGGGATTCACCAGTACACCCTTCCCTTGTGGCCCTGGGAAATATCATCTGATGTTTGACAAACTGCAAGTGAATAGAAATCTTGCACATCACTGACTCCATTAGTATTTCCCCTGCATCCCAAAAATATAAATCATAGTGAAATCAGAGTATTACTAGGGTAGAGAAATAGTGTAGTCTCCCAATATTTCCACATCTTCTAACAGTGAACATGCCCACTTCAGCACGGGTTGGGCTAACACCTAGGCTGATACAGATAAACCTTCAAGCAAGATTACACCAATGCTGTACCTTCCTCATCCAGGTACAGTCATGCCTGTACATTCAATCCCCCCAAGGTGTGGTCCCTCCCATGGAGCACCTGAGGGAGACCGGTCTACTCGATTCATGAGGGGGTGCCCCACATTACTGGGAAAGGGCAGCTGCAAAACTGTGTTCCTCAGATTACGCCAGAATAGGCTTCCAGGGTACTGACTGCAAAGTTTTGTGCAGATTAGGGCAATATGCCACCTAGTAACTAAAGATGGTATTGCGGGCTTCAAAACAGACACATCAATTAAAATGAACGAGTGTGTGTGTACGCGCATGTGTTTAAAAGAATACCACTGAGGTGCACAACTTGATAATCCTCTTAAATATGCGTACCAGGTGTTGGGTGTCTAGGATTCCCAGTTGTGGGGCTAGCTATAGTACTATCTGGCAGACAGCATCCATTATCTTCATTATCATTCACAGGTAAAACAGCAAGTGGGCATAAACTTACTGATACTCTAGAGCTGGCTCGCACTCTGGCTACAAATTCTCTCTCTTTCTCAGCAGCTTGTCTTTGGACCCGCTGGAAGTTTGTAAGTGATGTAGTAAACTCATTCACAAGTCGGTCCTTCTGTATTTTTCTTTGACGCTAAAGGGCAAAAGAAAAAGGGAGTAGGGAAGGAGGGAAAGAACATCTGGTAAAGCAAAATACTCTTATTGCAAAGCAGTTCTTCAACTGATCAGTTAAAGCTTTGGAAAATGTCTCTCTCTGTGTGTTCAATGCAGGAAGTTGGCCAGCTCTGCATGAAGAAACAGCCTATACAATTCCATGTTTAATTCCACTGCAGATCAGTTTACATCTTTAGCACATGCATCAACTAGACAGAAGATATGCCCCTTAAGCCATTTGGGCAAAATATTCCATACATCCTTCCCTTGTTCCTCCTCCCACTATACAGTCAGATCGGAACAGCTATGGCAACTATTACTTTTGAACACTTATTTAGAGTTTGCACAACTAGGTGGACATGGATAGTACATTTGAGTCCTAGCATATCAGACCAAACATATATTTTGTGATTTTGCACCCGGCTTTTCCCGAAAATAAAGCTGCAGAAGTGATCCTCAATAACCTTGTGGCATATACCCAGCCTAGTGTAACTATCAGCAGGGCGAAACACCTACTTAAACAGTCACACACGATGTGCCAGCCTCTACCCAACACTGGCTCCTGCTTTCTTGCAGAGAGTCACGAAATCTGAAAAAGGTACGGAACTGAGCAGCAGCTCCTGCTGAGCAGTGGTGATGAGCTCTGTGGATGAGGTTGTGCTGAACGCCTAACAACCTCTGCACTTAAACAAAACAAACATGAAGAGTGTGTAAATCCTTGCCGTAAGTTCAGGCACGAGCACTCTAACCTGGATGTAGAGGGAGAGAATGGACACGCACTTATCACCCCTGCAACACTACTTCAGGACTCAAATTTAAGGATGATGCCTTTTAGCACAAACAGCCCTCCAGTCAGAGTGGTTAGGTGGCAAATCATTTCCCCCCAGAGTCATAGCAAATGAACGTCACAATTCGTACCATGACACAAAACGTGTTCTAAGATGCAAATGGGCAACTTCAGAGGGACCGGGGGCCAATTTACATGCAGGGAAGCAAGATCACACTGGTGGAAGCAATTTTGTAATGAAGTAAGTCCTGTGCTCCTTTTGCTTTAAAGCAAAAAAGCAGATGTTTTTCTTCACTTCCAGAAACTTCCAATAGTAGCGGCAATTTGGTGGTGTGCAAGCCATGGGGGGGGGGAGCAGGTGTCACAAAAAGGGGGTGGGAGGTCCACATGTAGCCAACAGACCATGAGCTACCTAGCCCTACTCTAACAGTAATGGCACACGCTTCCAGTGGGACTTTTTTCCAGTTTGAGCTTTCCTCCCCACATACACAGACACCCCCCCCCCAACCTATATTCTTTATGGAACAAAAGCATCTATTGCAAAGAATGAAATGCCTGTTAAATACATTAATTTTGCATGCAATGCTATGTATGCACGCTCAGTTTAAACAGAAAGCTTGCAATTCTGCACATATTCAGGCTGCTTAACCCTCATTAAAGTCAACAGAATTCCGGATTTCAGTCAATGTGATTAAAATAATCATAATCCAAGTGCCTGCACCAAAATAAAACGTATAATCCTCATATTTCAGAAATTCTTGCCCTCTTAATTATATTCCAATGATTACCAGTAGTATATTTGGCTTGCTATGCCTGAGGCATCAACACTTGCAAACACACGCTGGAAAAATGAAAACAGTTTTAAGACAAAACATGGAATCTGTCTTTTATATTGTATACCTGTTCAGTTATTGAAGGCAGCAGTCCAAACTCTTTAATGTATTTGTCTGTCTCTTTGGCAAGTTGGTTTGTGTACTGCTGCTTTTGTTGCCTGCAAGCAGAAAGTTACAGTTCAGCAACTGCATTGCTTTACTCACTGCATTACTTCACCAACATTATAGCTTTGTAGTTCCCTCATCTTTTGAGGGAAGAGCCTTACTGGATAGCTGCAAAGTGACTACTAAAGAGCTTTGCGGCTGTATAGCAAAACTGATTTGAAAATGATTACTAATCTCAGTTCCATGGAAGCCGAGAAAAAGAATTATAAGGGGCAGAATCAGATTCCAGGCACTGTCAACATTTGTGTAACTACTGACAAAAGCTTCAATAGAATGGGCACAAAAAGTAGATGAAATAGTTTATATATGACAAGGATCGAATGATCTAGGGAGGTTGTGGCCTCTCTCACACTGGAGCCATTTAAAATGCAGCTGGACACTCATCTGAGAGAGATGGTTTAACTTGGACTCCTGCACTGAGCAGGGGCTTGGAACCGATGGCTTTCTCGACCTCTTCCAACTCTACTATTCTGTAATTCTGTGCGTCTATGAAATATACATGCTTACCTGGGAGAAAGCATTTTAAAAGCCAAATCAAACCCACAGCATGAAAATTCAGTGCTGAGGGAGGTTTACAGATTCTTTTCATATATAAAGAGGATAAGAATAAAAAACCTCTTTTTCAGCAATGATGAGCACAAGTTTCTCTTTAAATAAAAAAAGCATATTTCCATAGTAAATGATGCTTGGAGAATCTTTGCTGTGTTCAATGACCAAAAGAGTGCTTCCATCTATTACAAGGATGAAGTGAGGAAAGAGTGGGATGGTTAATCCACAAGGGGTTCTGAAGCCCTGTTATTTAACAATAGCAATAATAGAAAAGTTCATTTCCTCCCTCTACACCAAGATTAAGCTGCTGAAATGAAGAAAGCTAAAGGGAGAAGCTGGAGTACGTTTGTGTATATAAGGACTGCAGGTATAATCCTGGCACTGAAACCAATTCCTTGGCTGATCTTGTGCTCACAGGCCACCTGCCCTTAATTTTAAACGTGCGCCTGCCTATTCCTGGTCTAGAGTTTATCTCCTGCTGCTATCAAAGAGAAAGCCTACCAGACAACAAGTCCAAAGTGCATGTTTTGTGCTTCAAACAAAAGGCACTGATGTTCATCTGACCAAGGCGTTGGCAACCAGGTCCACGTGGCAATCAGTGGGCATTCTTGGGGTAGCACAAGGATTCAAATTCCAGGCCCATTCTTCACTAAGCCTTCAGCTCAATAGAAAGGATCCAACAGTGTCTGGCTACTAGCCTGATTTACACCCCTCTAGCAGAAACCAACTCTATAGAGTTTCCCAGTGGTATACCAATAAGGCTATCATAATTCATAGCTATTTCTCCCCTTAAAATTAGGGCAATAATGATGCAAAACACCAATATGACCACTATCTTTAATATAATGATTTTACCATCAATCAAAAACTCCAGATGTGTGATTGCATACAACTCTCATCTGCACCCTTTCCAGATGGATCAGTGATACCTACCAAGAAGACTTAACAACAAGGATGCATCTCCACTTCCGGATAGCAGTGTGTGAGGAATCTGGTTTGGGAGCAAGAATCTGTTGGAATTCCTCAGCTCAGCTCCTTAGACTCCATCCCGCTTTCTGTCTTCCCTAAGTCGGCCTCACAACAAGTGTTTATGAGGGTGTCCAGCAGGAGGCAAGTCCCAGTGAGCCGGTGAGAGGGGCTCGTGCACAAGCTGCCTACACGCCAGTCCCACTGTGCAAGCAGAGTTTTGCTTCTGCACTTTACATACTTAGTGCAAAGAACTGCACACGCTGAATACACAGCACCAAGAATCGTGTACTTTGCACAAAGAAGCCGCTAGCATTTCTTAGCATCTGCAGACTTAATCTCAGCTTGGCTCAGTTCCTGGGTAGGGCTGAGCACAAGAAAGAAGTCCAGCAAGCACGAGAGAGACAGATTCCTCACCATCCCTACTTCCTCCCTCCCTTTGTTATATTTTGCCTCACATTCCTCCTTTCCATTTTAAGTTTTATTGCATATTTACATGAGTTTTCAACTCATGAGCAGCTGGACTGCTGCTCAGCCTTAACTGAAGCCATTGCCGAAATGTCAGCAGGCAGCAAATATGACAGTGATGTGAACATTTTAAGACAAGTCAGTAGAGCAGCCTCTGCTGTCTTTCTTTCTTCTCCTTTCCAACACCATCTGGGTGCTTAACACTGCCAACAGTGTTACTTGGGAGGATTCAAAAGTCAACATACAAATAAGTGGTGGCTTATCCCTTCCCCCAGTTTTGTTCTCAAAGGTTTTGAAGATGCTGAGCACTTTGGTGAGATACCAACACCTACTGAGAAGGATATCTACAATGCAGTTAAATGAAAGGTCATCCCGTGAAGCACTTACAGCTGTTGCCGCAATTCATGTGTGTCTTGTGGTGTTCCAAGTTGATTCAGTACTCTTTGTATTTCCGCAGCTGTTTGCAAAGAGGAAGAGAGGTTTTTTGTAAATGATACATATCCACCACAATTTCATGCATTTCTAATTGACAATTCAGAAACATATACCAGTTGACAGAGCTGCGGTAGGTCAAATTCAGCACAGCTATCAAAGATATAGAAGCTCATACCAGAAATCAGATCAGGGTACGGCTGAAAACTAAAGCCTTTCAAACCACATTTTAAAAATTTGAACATTTTAAATAGTATGAATGTAATACAAATGAGAGTAGTTCTGTTTAAGCACATGCCTATGCTAATTTAAACAGAGAAACATGTACAATTTTCAGAGCCTTAGAACATTCAGATCAAGAATTCAGAAAACAAATTAAACTTTCCTGCTCTGTGGGTACAATACCTATTCAGACAAATACATTTCAGCAAGAAAGACACAACAAAAAGGCAATTTAGGCAGAAGTTTTTCCACGTAATTAAGTTTGGCATGAAGCCACCAGCACTGCACTTATCCATGGGCCAAAATGCTGCTAGCACACCTAGCAGGCTTAGCAGATGGCATGTTCCATAACCAGGATTAGTGCAAATTTGGCCAGGCTGACAATCTCACCAATTTTGATTTAAACCTATACGGCAAAAGAAATGAACAAGTCCTCCTCCTATTCTTTCATGTGTGTTATCCATAAGGTAACCTGCTTTCTGGGTTCAGTGTTATCCATAAGGTAACCTGCTTTCTGGGTTCAGTGTTATCCATAAGGTAACCTGCTTTCTGGGTTCAGTGTTCATGTCCAGGAAGTTAATGTTCAGGGAGTCAGTCACCTAGTCAAGATCTACTTAGACTTATGCAGTAATAAGCCAAAGGATAATACAATGTAGTGGATTTCTGTCTAACCAAGGATGATAAACCTCCAACCCTCAGCCCAATTTCATGAGAACATCAGAGGGTTTCATAAGCCCTCTGCATGTAATTTGTTCAGATATCTGGAAAAAGTAATCCCTTCCTCTCTAGGAAGCAGAGAATGGGAGATGGCAGAAAAAGGAAAAGTAGTGATCCACATTTGGTTTTGGTGCTGCCCACCATTTACTTATGGATCCCAAAAGATGACCCACGAGGGTGTGCACATCTTAACAGGAAAGGGGCTGCCCATTCCTGAACTACTGCAACCAATGCATGTACCACTGGAAAGAAAAGCACCAGCAAATAATGACCACTGAACTACACAGAATCACAGGTTCTGCTGAAGAGTTTCTTAAAAAAAGAAGCATAAAACTCCTGTCAGCTTAACAAAATGAAAGGTTAGCTTGTGTGTGCATGCGTGTGTTGGTCTTCCATGCATTAGCTCTGTTCTTGTCTTCAGCTCCACATCTAAAAGCAGAGCAAAGCACAGGATCATGCCTACTAGCTCTTATCCCATCATCCAGAGATGCTGTGAGCTGTCCAGAGAGCTTGGACTGTTGGGCAGGATGGAAATAAATAAATCCTACTCTTCTGTTGCAAAAGTGAAAAAGGACTGTATGTGGACATTGCCTGTACCTGTAACTTGGAACCCTGGCCGTGTGTACGAGGATTCTTGATCACATGAACAGCTGTGTGCGCGCAGAGCTCATGCTCCCCTGCAGCCACATGAGGGTAGGGCACCAACGTGATCATTCCCTTTAAGTGTTCACTCAGTGTGTGCAGCTGAAGGTGAGAAAGGAGCTAGCATGTTTAGTTCACCATCTAATGATGGTTCCCTGAGAACACAGTTCTCTCAACCAAGCCTCACAATTGATCAGGGTCTGAACCCAGGCTTCCTACACACTAGCTATTCTATTAGTAAAACATGACAGAACTCAGTTAACTACAGAGAATGTACACTACTGGTTGACTAACTAACTTTTTAATATGCTCAAGAACATGTTTGCTTGGCATTGCAAACAGGGCAATTACATCTTCACTGGGAATTCAAATTCAAATTTCAGAGGACACTGAATATAGAATAAACCATCAGGTGAAAGCCCTCTGTTCTGTCTTGTTCTCCCAAGTTGTATAAGCTTAGTTAATATATATTTAAGGAGGATTTCAGTGGCTACCCATAATTCAGGTTACTTTAGGGCTCAATTTTATCTACTTTTAAAATGGTTAATGAAATCAGGGAGTCATCTGTCCTGAAACAAAAGAATGGATAGGTAGGCAGCAAGGAACCAAGATTAGATTCACAATAAATTGATATTCTCAGTAAATTTGCACAAGGTACTTCATTTAGTTTTTAGAGACTGAACTTTGAGATGTCAGATAAAAGCTATTCTAGAGTAGCTTTACTGAAGTCAATGGTCCTGATATAGACTATTTACAGACTGAAATAGTCTGGATCAGAATCACTGACTTAAATAACTGAATCAAATGTGGTCAGGGTTGGGATATAGAAACCTGACACATCTTAGGGAGGAATGCCATCTGCTGGCCATCCTGACAGACAGAAGCCACCTAAACCAGCAATATCAGACTACTAGAAACTCCTTCTGTGAAGCTACTTTATTGCAAATGCTGATAAATCCCAACACAATACACACACACACACACCAGTAGTTCGTTCACATCTACATTACGTACCTAATGAACACCACCAAGGGTTTCAACTACATTCCAGATGTTAGTTGCATGCTGAAAATGTACTGACTAAAATGGCAGAATGATTGCCCTTGATTCTTCAGTAGCTGTAGTTAACGCTTTTCATGTAGTAAATCAAATAGTCCATGAAAACCATCTTCGCAATTCAGTCAGAGCAGATCAGAATAACTGGAAAACTTGGGGTGATTAGGGGTTTTTTTTGAGGCAATTGCCTCTCAAAGCAAGTTATCAGTCATATTTTCACATCTTGCTTCAGATTTTGCTGTTGTCATTCTAGTCCCTGATGCTAATTCTACAGTTTTTGATATTGTTTCATGTAACAATGATAGCCACAATGCCATCTGGAGGATGCAATGAGAAAAATATCCAAGTTTCGGTGTGAAGAGAACAGATACGACCACGGAACAGCATCCCTACTGTCCTGTTTTGTGTTTTCCTTTATTTATCCTCACAGCTCTATAAAAAGAAAACACATCAGCTCAAACAAGTTCTGGACCTTCTTTTTCACCTCAGGTATAAGTCAAGAATACACAAAAGTGGCCAATGGTTTCTTGTCCTCTATAGGGAACCTCCAAGTGACAGTGTATTCAGAGCATGAGACATCTGGAAGTCAGGCACAGACCAGCAATGTCCTCACTGATCTCAGCCAAGAGCGGCAGCCACAGAGCAACCTCATACAGTATTTTGTCATAGCCCAGGTATCTCTTCCATGCAAACTGCTTTCTCCAATTTCCTTTTCCAGTCTAGCAATACCCGTAAGTGGTAGGCTTCCCTGCAGATCAAAGGTGGGCAACTCAGGAAACCCTTGTGTCTCCCACCATCACCGGTCTTAAGGCACAAGATGCAGTCACTGCCAGCTCTGAATTTGTTGCTGTGGCATCAGTGACAAAATAATCTGTAGTCTGCTGCCAAAACCATGACAGTGCCCTAGTACAGTCAAATTATCTTTACAATAAGGGTGTGTCGAACTGGCCAATGGAAGGTCCAAAGTTGCCTGTCCCAAGAAAAACAAACACAGCCAATTGTATATTTGCAAATTTTACTGGGCCACCATTTCCCCTCTAGTCTAGCTGTCCATGCATATTGTTGTTAGACCCCGCAGGCAAAACAATGCCATCAGTTCACGCATCTTGCCTTGTATGGAGGTTTTCCTTCATTTACCACTGATGAATGGCTGTTTCAGCATTACTTACTGGCTGAAAAGCTCCCACAAATCATTATTTTAGAATGTGAGAAGAACTATGCTGGATCAGGCCAAGGGTCCATCTAGTTCTGAATTATGTTCACGCAGTGGACAACCAGCTCCCCGCAGGAAACCCACAAGCAGGAAAAGGGAGCAACAGCACCCTCCTTCCTAAGTTCTCCAGCAGCTGGGACACATGGACACCCTGCCTCTGGTGCTGAAGGCAGCACAGCCCTCGATGGCCTTCTCCTCCGTGAATTTATCCAATCCCCTGTAAAGCCCTCCAACATCATGGCCCTTACTACTTCTTGGGGAGGTGAACTGCATCGTTTAGCTTTACACTGTGTGAAGACAAATGCATTGTATGAAGAACTTGCATGCAGCAATTTAAAAAACTAGCTCCTAATTTAAATTGCTGGGCTTGGATGAAACATGAGTGATGTGGCTCTGTTTACTGGGTGTTAACTTGAGATGGTGCTGCTCTCTGTGCTAAGCAAACTATATTAGGTAGAGTAGGAGGAAGATGGTGGAATACAGGAAGTGTTCGCCTACAGTCCAATTATAGGGCTTACCCCATTGTGATAAGGAAACTGCTCTCTGCCCATTAGCCGTCGAGCAGGTGTGGCAAGCCTCTGCTCCAGTGGCACGTACACCAGGAAACTATGCATTAAGTGAGGAAAGCCCTGCCTCCTATCTTCTTGCAGAGAAGATTGCAACTGTTAAGCCCAGCTTCAAAGAAAATAAACAGCATGCAAATTGCAAAGTCAGGAGGGCAGAAAAGAAAGAGGCTGGAAGGCCTCACTTTGCCAAGATGAAAACTCTGCCCCAAAGAGAGTTCTTGAATGTTTAACAATAGCACAAAAGGGGGTGCCCAGCAGCCAGAACCCCTCTGAGATGACCTACTGACTCTCTTTCTGCCATACCACTAATTACACCAGGAGCTGCTTTCAAGCCCTAAATTGACACATACCACACATCATACACTACCCCGAATCACCACTGCTTTTCATTTCTACAGCCACAAGAAGCAAAAGAATCAACCCCTTAAAATGCTGACTTTTTCAAGTCACAACACACACCACCTCCAAGGATATCTGGAGTGAGGACCAAGTAGCTAAAGTGCTTCTGTGTCATCAACTTGCCATTACCCCATTAAACTGAAAGCTGTTTTGCTATTCTTTCACCTCCCAGAGAAACAATCCAGGGTGTGCCACTAGTAGTCCTCCACAGTGTTTTAGCTGACTGCTTCCATCAGCCCTAATTAGCAAAGTCACTGGTGAGGGATGACAGGAGTCATGGGCCAAAGCATCTGGATGGCCACAAGTTCACCACCACTGTTATCCTGGTCCCAGATTTCAGGTCAGTTCAGCAGGTTCCGGTCTAGGGTGTTGGTCTTCTACCCCATAATGAATAACAGGCATTACGCAAAACCACCACTAGCAACTGTAAGACCCAAGACAGCAAGGTACGGTTTGCAGACTTTTAGTAAGCAGCTTTGGGTGCAGTCAATGATAAAAAGTGACTTGGGTCCAGAGATATGTTATACAAGAGGAAAGGCATGTTCCCTTGCACCAGGCAGTTCCACCAAATCTACAATTTTCCTGTGCTGCAGTAGCACCCCATACCCCATCCCAGAGCCATGGCAGGTGTGCCACTGAACCTCAGGAGAACAACTGGAGCAGGGGGCACAAGGGGTGCAGTGGCACAGAAGAGCCCCAAAGCTCCTTTGCACAAGCAGAGCTCCACTCTGGATTTAATCATGCCGCTCATCAAGGGCAAGGTTACACAAGGTACAAAGCAAGTATGTCCGGAAGTACTGAGGCTCTACATTTCTAATGCATCCCTTACTAACTACAGAGATCGGTACAGAGCAACTTAAAGGGAAAAAACAAGTTACACCATTAGAACTTGTCTGTCTTGTTTAGTCATACGTGTTAATGAGTCAAAGCATTGTAGTTTGCATGCTATAGCAGTGATTAGATCAACGTGGGCTGCTTTTCTCAGGTCAAACTGCTGGTAGCAAACCAAATTGCTCTTCTGTGACCTACTAAGAATTCCATCCTGATTTGAGTGCATGCTGGAATGTTTCAGATGTTAACAGGTTACCCTACCAAGGTTAGACAGATTACAGTGTTGACAGAGTGTATAATCCACCTTCCTAGCAGTCATTTGCTTGTGCCCTCTTCACTCAAGGACTCTTCCATTGTCAGAGTTCTAAAGCTGGAAAGACGAGAACTCAAATGCTAGATAGTGAACAATCTCAGGAAACAGGAATGAGAACCAGCCATTTTCAGTCTCTAAATCAGCACTGAAAGAAATAAGGGTTATTATGGAAATCACACCTGGTCTTTGCATGCTCCTGTGGAAGGAGAAGCAAATGGCAGGCTCTGGAACCAAACTATCACACCTGTCTTTCCTTGTATCACTGCTTAACCTACACATCATAAAATTATTTCAATGTTTATTACTTTTTATCTTGTACTTTATATTGCATTTTATGTAGACACTTCAAAGATTTTATGACATAAGATCTGTATGTAAGCAGTTTAAATCAGTGTATGAACTATACCTGTTGAAAAAATTGGACACCGTCTAGCTGGGTCTGGTATAGAGATCAAGGGGTTCTGTCATCAATATTTCTCAAATTCACGAAACACACAAATGTTTTAGCAATAACATGCTGTTACCCTAAGCTGTTTTATCACAGAAGCCCTGCTTCGCAGACATCTTCACCAGTATGCCTGCCCTGCCTTTGCAGCTTCTCCCACAGGAGAAGCTGCAGGTAAGCAAGAAGTATTCTTGTGGCCCAGGTGGCCTGCCTTTTTTGCATTCATCATGCACAAGCAGTGAACCTCCCAAGGGGCACTGCTTACATGTTACATAAAGGAAGATGAGCCACAGAACTGAAGGCTTTCTCAGTAGAATTTGTTCACAATTTTACAGAGGAGCTTAAGACGAGAAGGGTCCTCTACACTTTGAGCTGGTCCTGTTCAGGCTGCCAGTCACTGTCACTTTCAGGATATGCCATCCCATTCCACCACTAGTTCACCACCACCAATACCACCTGGCAGTAATCTGTGAACAATTATATTTCTTCTAGCACCCAATATTGGGTGATTTCTTCCAAAAGAACCTTCGCTCTTCTGCAAAACTTTGGGTTTTTCAAAGTCTTGCAATACTTCCCTCTGCCATGAGAGTTTTGGCTCGAGAAGAATCCATGCTTTGAGTTCATAACTGGTCTATTACATTTAACCAGGTTACAAACTAAAGGTTATATCATCCAAGCTTTAAAATTAAAACTTTATATACAAATGGGTATGATTTATACATGTAAGCTGCACAATGATCTCAAACCATCCATTTTAGTTACCAAATCCTTAGAAGAAATTACAGTTATTGATCACTAGATTCTGGCCAGAAAGCAACTGTTCATTTTTTCCTATAAAGATAGATCACCAGATGACATGAATTGGGAATATAGTGACACAAAAACACTTTAGCCATTATGATGCTCAATAGCAAGTCAGGCAATAGTTAAAGTCAGGATAACACTACAGGTAAAGATGGCAATGAAGACAAAAAATATAATGTAAAGGCCAGACCAATTAAGACAGTTAAATTTCAGACACCAGCAAACTTAAGCACTCATGAATCCTAGAGCCCGTGGAGACATCTCAAACTGTTAGGCCTCTATTTTCTTTTTGGTTTTGCAAGACCATCCAAAAGGCAAACATGCTTCACAGATAAAACTGAGTTATAACATATGCCTGCAAATGATGCATATATTCCTTTGCGGGGTAACTCTATCTTCTGGAGTACAGTTTTTATAGTAACATATTAATCGGAACCAGTGGACTTTGGTCCATGAAAACAGTGTTTTACGTTTCTTCAACAGGCTTATATGGCCACCTTTCAAAGTTTTTATCATAAAACTGATTTAAAGACACAATCCTAAGTTTCCCTGACATTACATGAGAGGCAGCATTAAGCATTACTCCAAGCATTCAGGAAAGAAAGCTGGGTCAAGAACTTTCCAGTCAGCATCCCAGTCCTTCCCTCCCCTTCACCAGCCCAATATCTAGACTGCTGAAAAGAGCCAGCTAGAAAAAATGCCCAGTGAAAGCAACAGGGCCAGCTCCTTCTGTGCACAGAATGCACCCAGTGCCCAAGTTTAGAGGCTTCTGTGCATATGACCTAGGGCAATAGCATTTCATCCTAAACCAGCAGGACTAGCAGCTCTTTCTTCAGAAAGCAGCCCTGTTTCCAAAGTACTTTCAGAGAGCATTTGAACATGGGGCACATATCTCTTCACACCAATCAATTTTGTGCTCTGCGTTCCTAGGACAAAAAGCAACATGCAGGATAAATGTGCTATCCTGCACCAGCTAGAGCACATACTTCAGATAAGATTGTTGAGAGGTAAAATTCATGGCTAGCTGCCCAAATCTCACCAGAAGGCAGGGAATGAAATGTCATTGCAAAACTGATGAAAGTTTTGCTTATAAAGTCTAGAATTGCACTGCTGACATTAAAGTATTATCTACATGATTTCCTGAAAGGCTAAGAACTTCTTTTAATTAAAAATTCTGGCTCAACAGAAATGAAATGTACAGAAACTATGAATAGTTCGAGTAGCTTACTGCATTGTGTGATTTTCTGGATATTGGATGTTATACGCTGTGCTAACTGGTTTGGATCCCCAGCAGTGCCTTCACGGTACGCCATGGCTGATTATAACACCCACGGAGATCATAGACAAGAGGTTCACAAAGGTTACCACCTGAAAATATAGAAAGACAAGTTAATTTTGAAGAAGTTACACTTCATGGGGATTTGTATCAGAAAAATCTCAAAAATTCAGATTGTTACCCTTCGTCAAAGAAAAATGGGTTAAATGTACTAAATTATTGCTTATTCTGAGCAGCTTCAGGGGAAGAGGCAGCATAGCCCATGGGAAGTCCTTCAGCAATCCCTTTACTGCACCAGCACTGCATCTTGTGGGAATTCTGCAAAGGGACCACACATGCTGTAGACCAGGGCGAAGCAACTTGGAACACTCCAGAGGGCTGGTCCTGTAAGTCCCATCATCCCACACTATTGGTTATGGTGACCAAGGCTGATGGAAACTATCAGCCTAGACATCAGGAAGGCTACAAATTGCCCATTCCTTGCTCTAAGCTTCACCAGAGACCTAGAGCCCTTCTCCATTCACCCGCATTGCAACCAAGCCTTCCCTCAAAAGCTTACCTTAGAATGTGTCTCACTGAACTCAGTGATGCTTACTTTTGAACAGGCACATACAGGATCGGGTTGCAACACAGCATGCACAGCACCCAAATATAACATGTTCTGCAAGAAGCTGCACCAGATCCCCATTCAGGCCCTTAAGTGCAGGTTTTCCCTGCTGTATATGTAGGGAGAGCAGGACTAAACCTCATCCGGCCACAGGGCATGGCTCTGCAGACTTCCACATTGCCAGAACTTTTGCAGCAAGGAGCTTGCTGGATTTACCTAGGCCACGCAACTCAGACCCCTACATAATCACATTTCCAAATCACTCAGGAAGCCTAGGAAGTACAGAAGACTCCCAAATACAGAAGTGCTCCTTGTGATGCATGGGAAAGGTAAAAAGGATGCAGGGCCAGCAAGCACCACCCCACTCTTCTTTGTCAAGCGATTTGCATTATGCAGGATCTGAACACCCAAATAGGGTTGCTGTTTTATACTATACAGGACACAGCAGCGCTCAGAGGGTACCCAAACTGCAAGTCCCACCCAGTTCAGGAGGAGTTACATTCAAGTAAGAGCACACAAGACTGCAGTCTGCCTGACATGCTCCAAGTGGAGTTTATAAACAATGTTCGGACAGTTGTATTTCAAAGGAATTTTGGTTGTCAAATGCACACCCAACTCCTGGGAGGAAGTCTTATTTAACTCCACAGGGCTCACATTCAAGCTGAGCAGAACTCAAAAGCACCTCTGGCCATCCCAATGTTCAGTGAATGTTCTTACTGGTTCAAACTAGATGCTTGTGGGAAGAACTACGTAGGAGAAGCAGCCCTAGATTCCCGATATGGATTCTTTGTTATTTCCCGGTTTTGGTCTGGACCAACTGGAAGAATTTAACAGGTGCTCAGCAGTTTCCTACCCCACCGCTGAGTCCAAAGCTGCCAGAACTTGTATATGTACTAGTGTCCTTCATGCCTGGAATACCACTGCATGCTTAAAGAAGGAGAGAGCATCAGGCACCTTTCTACCTAGAAACACCTGCATGGACATCTACAGGGAAATACAGGGTTCCAGTTCCCCTCTCTGAAGTCCTCTGTGGTCATTGCGATGATGCTGCACAATGTTGAGGGTGGAACGAACAGTGAGGCCTCACTGCTCCATTAACTGTGTGGAGCTTCTTCCCACATGTATTGCATGAGTGGGACATATTCCTGTCTACTAGGGTAGAAGATCTACCTATCAAAGCTCACCCCTGCTAAGGCCATCAGCAACTTTACCAAAACTTGTTTGTTGGCCAACGAGCTTGGGGAAATTCCAGGAAGATGGCAGAAAGACAACTGGGGGCATTCTGCTTATACATTCATCTCTCCAGCTACGGGGAAGTGGTCAGGTCTGAAAGAAAATGTGCCACCAAGCTTAGGGCAACACCTCAGGTTATTCTCAGCATAACTGTTTCCCATTAACAATGCTCTAGCTGCAACTTTCAATACTATTTTTAAGTATTCTTTCAATTCCTTTCACTGCAAAGACTTTTTCTACAACTGGTGGGGCTTCCTCTTCCGCTTCAATCTGTAAAACTTTCTGCAGAGTTGACTTCTATGAGGTCCTGAAGTGTCAAGCTTTTGCAGTCACTGCTACTACTGAATAAAAACTGTTAACTGTCCACCAAAGGAAACTTACTGGAGCTGATCTATGCAGGCAAGCAATATCCCCACCCCACCCAATAATAAGATCTACTGCCCAACTCTGAAATTGCTGTGCAAGATCAAAACTGATAAGCCTTCACAACGAGAAGGTAAAGCCAACTGAAAGACACAAGCTTGGAAGAGATGTCAGCACAATTACTCTTTCCTAAGGTCATTTTTGTTACAGGCTTCAGAGGCACCCAAGTTCCCGTAGGGCAACATTTCAGGATTCTCCACATTTAATAAGGAGCAATAATTCCAGGGACATCAAAGGCACAGCGAATTGATTGGGATGCAAACCATCAGATCACTTTTACAGAACAAGTAAAAGCGATTACTTGCAGTGTTATGTTTTGATTATTATTATTTATTATATTCCACATTATTAGTCCCACAGGACTCTCTAAGCAGATTACAGCAAAAATTTATAACAGTCGAAATAGAACACAATATAACAGTGAAATAACTATAAGAATAAAACAAAAAGTATACAGAAATATGACAATATACAGTGGAGAGTTAGGTGTGAATAGGTTAAAATAGTATGTTAAAACAATAGAACCATGCAAAACTAAATACCTTTTAAAATTGTACAGTATAACATCAAATATCAACATGTCTGGGGAATAAGAGATGGGTAATCTCTGCCTGCTCAAATGTTTTCTCCGAGGTTTGTTCACACATCCCTGAGCAATCCTATTTATTTTAGTGGGAGGGGATGCACCCTTCAGGGCAGATCCTAAAAAACTTCATAATGCATCTTCATTGAAAAAGGAAGTGGAAACTACACCTACAGAATTATTTTAGTGTGTTCATAAAGAAAACCCAAATGCAGCCTTACGAGGCTTAAAGTTTCAACTTAGCCTCTTCCCTTTTTCGCTTAAGAACAAAAGAGCAGTGATGCTGGATCAGACTAAACCTGTTTGTGCAGAAGCCAACCAGTTACCTACAGGAAGTCCGCAAGCAGGACATAAGGGCAACACACCCTCCCGCCCACGCTTCCCAGCAAGGGGCACACAGCCTTTGATGTTGGATAATACAGAACGATGAGGACCAGCGGCCTTCAATAGTCTTGTCCCCCATGAATGTCCCTAACGCCCCTTTGAAGACAACCTGGCAGCCATTGCTACATCCTGTGGTAAACAAGTCCCACAGTGTGTGCTGCGTGAAAATGTGCAGCATCTTCACCTTCCTCAGCAATACCCCCAGCAGCTTTTCTCTTCCAACAAGGAACATGGGGCAAGAGGCAGCATTTTCCTCCAAAATGCAACAAGAATTACAACGATCATATTCTTTGCCCTGGACCCTGCCAATGCAGATTGCATTGCATTTTTCCGTAAGTGGCAGAGCAAAATAACCCAAAAGGCAGAGTGGAAACGAACTGCTTAGCCCATGGCTGAATGGCCTGAACATGGCAACAGTGTATTTCAGACCACCTTCCCCAGCCCGGCGCTCCCCAGACATGCCCTGGCTAGCTGAAAGGTGCCAGGTACCGTGATCCGGTACATCTGGAGGGTACCAGGTTTGGGGAAGGCTTCCTCAGCCCTTTTAACACCAGCCATCAGCTACAGCAGGTGCTGCCAATACGCAGCGATTCATCAAGCAGCCCACTGCTCTGCTCGCCCGCCCGCCCGCCCGCCCATACACTGATACAGCCGTCCACGACTCAGGCCATTTCCCCGAATCTTCTGCAGGCCTTTACTGGACAACGAACCAGCACCACCGCCCTGCGACTCCTTATCCTTATCACATGATTGCTCCACCCAGAGGAAGGAGGCGCCAAGCACAGGCCAGAAAGGAAGGCTTGTTTTCCACGCCGGATGGCACCATGCGCTTCCAGCAGCTCCCAGGAGCAGGCGACCCGCCCCCGGGCATCCCCCTTCTCACGCGCGGCCAGCCACGCCTGCTGCGGAAGCGCACCTCCAGCACCAAACGCCTGGAAGTGGCCTCGCGTTCCCCCACCCACTCCTGGGCAGGCGTGACACGTCCCGGAATGTCGGAAACGAAGGCAGGGGGCAAAGAGGAGTCCCGCGGCACAGAGAGACCGGCCTGTTTGAAGACAGCTCGGGCGGGAGGCGTCCCGAGCTCGAGTCGCTCACTCCAGCGCGGGCAGCAGGAGCGCGGTTTTGGCGAGCTTTCCCAGTTGGATGCTTAGGCGGCCGCCAGCGCAGCAAAACTCGCCCGCTCTCCAGCCCAGGGGCCCTGCCGGGAAATGAGGAAGTGCCACCCGCGCCGGCGAGCGCTGCCAGCGTCCCAGTCGAGAGCCGCGCCCGGCGACCTCTCTCCTCCCTCGGCCCGAGCAGGAAAGGAGGCGCGGAGGCACGGATGCCCGCCTTGGCTCCGAGCGGACTCCGCGCGCAGGGCGAGGGGGCAGCGGGGCGGCGGCCACCCACCCGAGCCCCGCCACGCGCACAGCCCAGGAAGGGGCTGAGTCGCGGAAACCCCCTTCCAGCGCTCCTTACCCGCAGCCAGCCGCCTTGGCCTCTCCGCGCGTCCCACCAGCACGGCGGCGGGCGGGCGGGCACGCTCCCTCTCGGTCGAGCCGCCGCTCAGCTGATCCGCAAAAGGGAGCCACCCCCTCGGCCCAACCCAGCGGCCGCCGCAAAAGTGGCAGCTCGCGGAGGGCCGGGCGGGGCGCTACTGCTCGGCTCCGCCCTCGCCTCCTCCCCCTGTCGACACGACGCCTGGCCGCGGAGGGCGCCGTCGGCCCTGCTCCGGATGGGCGGCATCCGAGCGCGCGTGCGAGGCGATGACGTGGGATGGAGCGCTATGCTGCGGCTGGACGGGCGCTGAGGGCGCACGCTCGACTCCGGCGTGGGAGAGGCTTGGCGTGCAAGCCTTTGCGTTTCTACTCGGAAGTAACTGCCACCGAGTTCAGTGGAATTTGCTTGCTCATCCATAGCTCCGCTCTTGTAGTTGGTTTGTCTTACAGATGTGTGTATCGTCATCATCATTTGAAGCACTAGAACTCAGTCTCAGCACACACGATATAGAGCCAACCAGATTTTATTTGCTTATATACTACAAGATATTAGCCAGCATGCCGGATCTTGCTACTTTTTGTATCCCAAATCCTCATCCCTTCCTCTACCCTGAGCAGAAGGCCAAATTGTAAGCTTGCAGGGTGGCAGTGGGAAACGTGTGGCCCCTTAAATACTTCTGGACTATAACTCCCATCAGCAGTACTTAGCATAGCTATTCTTATGGGGTGATGGAAGTTGCAGGGCAACAGTGACGAGGGCCACAGCTTGCCCACCCTGGAACAGAGTCCACCCTTGTACTCATTAGTGCCATGCTTGCTCAGAGCAAGGGTCCACCTAGGCCAGTACTCTGTTTGCCCAGTGGCCAGCTCCAGGTGCTCTCACACTCACGTGTTACATCAGATAGAGGAGGCACCACCAGCTGTGGATAGCCATATTCCCCTTGAATTTGCCCAATCTCCTTTTCAGGCCTTCCAAACTGGTAACAAAAGTGAATTCCACAGTCTGTGGTGTAGGAAGAAGCATCCAGTTTTATCTTTCCCAGACTTCCCACCCATCAACCTCACAGGATAAGCCCATTGCAAACTAGTTTTTAAAATGTCTCCATACCCATTCCACACCATGAATAATATTGTCCACCTTATTATTTCTCCTCTTACTTGCCTTTTCCCTAAGTCCCAGGATTGTAACCTTTCCTACAAGCAGATTGTTCTATCTGTATGATCATGTGAAATGTCCTTTTCAGCACTTTTTCCACTTCTACATTTTTTTTATTTATTTTTGGTGTAGTGGGTAGAATGGTACACAGTATTCCAAACAGAGTCATACTTTACGTAAGGGCAGTATGATTTTAGCAGGCCTCTTTCCACCCCATGCCTTTCCTAATTGTGCCCAGGATGGAATTACTCCTTTTTACAGCCACCACACATTGGTTGGTCATCTTCATTGCCCACCACAACTCCAATATTTCCTTCTTGCTCCATCAGTACTCAGCTCTCATCAGTGTACGTATGAAGCTGGAATATTTTTGCCCCAGGATGCATTATTTTAGACTTGTTTACATTGAACCACATCTGCCATTTTAATGCCCTTTTCCCCAGCTTGCAGAGATCCCTTTGGATCTTTTATGTTTTAACCACCATGAACAATTCAGTGTCATCTGCATATGTAGGTAACTCATTGCTCACTTCCAGATCATTTATAGACAAGTTGAAAAGTAGTTCTCCTAGTACGGAACCCTGGGGAACTGACTATTAATACCCCTCCTTGGAAAAATGTACGATTTATTTCTAATCTCCACATTATGTTCCTTAACCAGCAGTTAATAAGAGGATCTCTCTGCTCATTCTGTGGCTCAGGACTTCATCAAAAGACCTTCAGGAAGTCTCTGTGAACAATGTCTACTGGATCACCCTAGCTGCATATATGTCAGCACTCTCAAATTCTAAGAGATTATCGAGATACGACTTTTGTAAAAGCAAGGGATTATCATTCAGTATGCATATGAATTTTATAATGCTTTCAACCAGTTTACCCAGAACATATATTAATCTAATCAGCCTGCAGTTCCTCAGATCACCCCTGGTTATCTAAAAATCTGTATTACATTGGCCATTCTGGAGTCCTGTGATACAGAGGATGACATTTAAGTATTTTTGTTAGACATCAGCAATTTCACATTTAACTTCTTGAAGCACTCTGGAGTGAATACCATTTAGACCTGCTGATTTATTAACTTTTAGTTTCTCAGTAAAGTCAAGAGCTTGATCTTTTGTCATCACTTCTTGTCTCGTTTCTCAGAACTTCTTCCTGAAGACTTCAGAAACAAGTATCTGTCCTACATCTGCAGTGAAAACTGATAAAAGTAATTCATTCAGCTTCTTCATTCTTCTTCTTCTGTACTCCTTGAATTCCATTGTCATTCAACAGTTCAACAACCTCCTAGTTTCCTGATTACCATACATCTAAACCTGGCTAACAGGCTGATCCTATGCATATTTACTGAGAAATAAATTATGCTGAGTTCTATTGGACATCTTCCCAACTAAGTGGGCATAGATTTACTGTAATGAATTATGAACCTAAGTATGTTTAGTAAGTATTTAAGGAAAGAAAGCCCAAGACATTTTGCTGCTAAAGCAAGGCAGCAAAATGCATCCCCCCTTCCACCCAAGTGAAAGGAGTACCCAAAATCAATCAAATTGACACATGAAGCAGAAAGTTAGACAAATATGTCTATACTACTCTGGCAGTAAAAATGCAATAATAAAGTATCACCTGCTGCTCTCTCATGACACTCAAATCTGCTGCCTGAGGCATCCATCTCCCTCTAACTAATGGTTTGGCAGGCCCTTCCCTACAGAGTATACTCAGCTGCCCTAGACAAAAGACAAACTCAGTGTAAGTGTCATTTGATTTTCTAGATCAGAAGTAGCATCTCTTGTTCTATTGTATTTATTTTTATTTATTTTTATTCAAAACATTTCTATGCCGCCCCCATTGCAACAAAGCCTAATATTTGTTTACCTGGCATAAACCATCTTGCGTGCTGTTCCTATATGGAAGCAGTGCTGTCTCATTCTCAGCCTGACTAGCATGGCAGAAAGCCATGGAGCCAAGGCATCACAAAACGAAGGGCCAACATTGTGCAGGAGAGCTTTTAAAGATATAAAAGTTGGCCAGCCAGCTTTCTGGCACAGGGGTTTAAAAACAAAACATTGTGCAAATGCATTACGAGCTGGGTTATTTTTCCATACTCACAAATTAATCATAAACCTGTCCATGAATTTTTCAGATTAATTATCAGACATGTTTTTCCAGTCTCATAAGAGCATTTAAGCCAACCCGTGGCTTTTCCGCTCTTACAAAGGCATTAGAAGGATGCTGTCCTGCTGACCTAGGAGATCCTAGTTCGAGAACTGCTGCAGCAGTTGTCCAGCTCTTTCTCGCTCGCTCTCCCCCGCCCCCCGTATGTGTGTGTTTACAGGCAGGTGCAGGCCATGGTGGCAGTGATGGGGGCACATCCCTAGCCCCACAATTGACTCACCCCTGAGCAGACAGTGGGGTATAAATCTTCAGTCCATATTTATAAAAAACTCTATAGGTCCTGAAGGACAAATGCTACTAACTTCACCCCAGGAAATGTCTAATGTGGTTTAATGCATTCCAAGTGTTAAATAGGTGGAGGGGCCAAATTCCTCATCCCACAGATGACTGCAGCTTCTGGGGTCAATATCCCAGAAGCCTATTCCTGCTGAAAGCACTGCTTTTAATCCAGGAACAGCACACTATGCTTTTTACTTAGGAGTAAATCCCAGTGGGGCTTACTCGCTGGTATTGGGCATTGGATTGTAACCTGGTTTATATTTTCCGGGGCTGGGGAAGGGCTTTCCATCCTGGCTGAGAGGCAAAGGGGAGTTAGGCATGTGGTGATTGTCGTCATAAAAAGCGTGGCCATGCTGGCCAAAAGAAAAATTTCAAAATTTACAATATATAACATCTTTATTAGACCAACAAAAAGATTACAAAAAATCTGTGTGACTGCATAGTTTTGCAACCATTGAATTTGCCTGATAAAGGTATTGTTTTAAGGATTCGAGAGCCAGTGTGGTGCAGTAGTTAAGAGTGTAGGACTGGGACTTAGATCTGGCTTCCAGTCCCTACTTAGCCATAGAGCTAACAGAGTGACTTTGGGCCAGTCACAGACTCAGAGCTCAATCTACCTCACAGGGTTGTTGTGGAGAGAAGATTGAGAGGAGAAAGAGAACTGTGTAAAGTTGTCTTGAAGGAAAAAAAAAAGCTGGATGTAAATTAAATACAATAAATAAAGCTTCATGAAAGAAGCTGTTCCCTCAATTCATTTACACCTCTATATAATATTTGGTATCTCCTGAGATGAAAAGCCCTCTGTTTCCTGTAGATGCCTGTACACTGAGGCCAGACATGAATTATAGTTCCCTTTAGCAGAGAAAATTCTGGCCAGGGCGGCTTATTTTATATTGTATATTTGTAATTTATTTTAATGTATATATTTTAAAATGTTACTTATTTGTTGTAAGCTGCCCCGAGGCTTCGGCGAATGGGGCGGCATAAAAATGTTTAAATAAATAAATAAATAAAATTCAGCCCGGGATCGGGCGGTAGTCAGGGAATAGGAGCATATTACTGTATGGTGGAGAAGCTGTGCGTGTGTGCTCAGCAGGATTTATTTATACATACCATCAGCCCCCCGCAAATCAAGTTTGGGGGAAAGTAATTCTGTGTGCTGGATTAAAAAAAAAAAAACTTAGCTAGCTATTTTACTGATTGGCTAGAGGCCTCTGATGCTAGGAACCTTCCCACCAGGAATAAATGGTGTCCGTGTTTTAAAATGATAATGATGTGAGAAAACCATTTGATTGGATACATTTGCAAGTGGCACTTTTAAATGTTGTTGTTTTAATACACAAATGCATTTCAGAGTCTTAAATGGCTTGCTCACAAAAAATAAGATTTTCTTTCGTTTGCTGTCCTGTCCCTTCGTTGCTGGTAAAAGTTTCAAAATTTTATGGCCACAAACTGATGTAGCAGTTAAAGATGGTCTGGTTAACTATACACACCCACCATCCAGAGAGCCCAACTATGGCTATAAGG